CTCTTACGCGCCCAGCCACGTACACGTAATTAATACACAAGCAACTGCACCATCGAGCGAGATAATTACAAAAGCTTGCTTTGAACTGTATTTGCCGAGGTAAGGAGTTTTGGCATTGAAGTACAAGCTCTGGGAAAACCAACAAAACCCTTGAAGTGTAACTCAATTCGTGATATGTTGCAACCGTCATGTACGCTTATATATTTTGTTAAATCAAGTTTAATGCATGTATAATTCAACATGATCAGAGCACAATAAGTTTTTTTACCATTTATTCGAACTAGTGCCTCTCCACTTCATACCAATACGAAGATGTAAAAAAAAATGCTTCACGGAAGTAAATGTTAATAGTTAAAAATTATAATCACAATCGACAATCGATAATTTTTTTCGATATTTTTCAAGGACAGTACAACGCTGGTCTGAATCTCGAATTTGTTTTGATAAAACGAAACCCTTAGACAGCAGGAGCCTCAAAAACGCTCTTAACATCGGCAATTTTCCCACCCTGACAAAGAAGCTGGAAAATATGAAAAGGCAAAAGTTGAAAATCAATCCTGCGACCCTCTCCCCTGCCTCGTAGAAAAGTCTTTCAAGGGAAATCTTGGGCAACTCAGCCGAGCTACCGTACTAGTAGTAGCAGTCAGTAGTTGTTCAGACGAGAGTGAAATTCATAGCCATCGCTGTTGTGGTGGTAGCCGAGCTTTGGCGCACAAGAGAGTGGAAGGGGTCGACTTCTACGGGAGGCGACGTCTTACTAATACAAGCCGCTGTGCGAACTAAGCCTGGCGCTGAGTTCATTACCCATTCCTGTCTGAAGAAGACGAGGATAACGGAGCTTCGTCTTTAACTCGCCCTCTAGCTCCTCTTTTCTTTGCCCTGGCATTGGTGCTTTGTTTCCACTTGTCTTCGAGGTGCGCAATAAGAAAATCGATGCATTCTTCCTCGCTGGGAGATCGATTGGAAAAAAAAAGAGACTAATTAGCTCAGGGAAAATAATTAGATGAATCGGGAAGAGAGTATTGACTCATCGCCGATGTTGTTGTTTTGGCTTTGTTTCGAGGGAGCTTCTTAGTTTCAATGGTTGGGCTCTTTAGTAAAACATTTTGTTTTGTTTTAAAAGATACAATAGAGATTTAACTCGATGCGATTACCTGTCGTAACTGGAAAGTTGTGAAGTTTGTTTGTTGTTTTTATACAGCTTTGGAACCAAATAGTCGAGTACTTCTTTTTCGACAGGTTGGATCAAAAATAAGCGAAAATAAGCTCACCGAGAAACACTGGGTTGGTTTACATTTTATGATTCGTTAATTGAGAATATTGCAAAGTTAACGTGGTCCAAGTTTTCGAAGATCAATTTTCAAGTAGATACAGCGATGTAGTTCAAATAGTGGTGAACAGACACCCGAGTAACATTACAACACGTGGAAAGTTTCTGCAGTTCTGGCTTTACATGAACTTGAAACTCGTCTCCGAGACATGGAGGATCCTATCTGTGTTATCGCTGATGGGTTATATTATACCAAAGTTAACGTAACACATTATTATGCAAATTCGCGGCAGAGTATATGTAACTTCGATACTTAATTTTTCACATTATAAATGTTACCTTGTCCATTAAAGTTCTGCAAAGATCATAAAACGTACAGTATACAAATGAAGAAGCCACATGATACGCAAGCCACTTACAGATGAATTAAATAGAATTTCTTCCAACAGCACGTGAATATCTTGATGTAATGATGATCGGCTGTGTATTTTAGTTAAAGTAGCTGTAGAGCTACTATTAAAGATAGGAAGTGAAACAGTTTGCGTGGCTTCGCCTTCCCAGAGTCCCTTTCCTCTCGCAAACTCCCAAGAGGAGAGAAAGGAAGGAAGGGCGCAGAACTCTGGAGGCAAACGCGACAGGGAATCGGTAATGCCGAGCGCACCTCTTCGGCCATCGACCCATTACTTCTCTCGGTACCCCTCCGATGATTACCTTAATTGGTTTCGCTCTGATAGCCCAATAGCTTATGTTTCGAGGTAGTAGAGTTTAGGTTACAGGGTTTTATTATCATTATTTTTATTTTTATTATTATTATTTTTTTTTTTAATTTGTAAAAATATGAAGGTGAATGAAACTAAATCATAGTTTGTCCATAAATAAGTCATTAGTACAAATGACGATTAAGCATAACTTACCATCTAGTTCTAGTTAAATACGAAATTTTTATCGCAGTGTTCACTAGCTACAGACAAAAAAAGCGTAGAAATTTTTTACGTTGGATATTTATATTTTTGATAGCGTTATCAAAAGTGTTGTATTTTATTTTTTTTGTTATTATTGGTGGTCTCATATTTAAATATCAAATTTTTATAAACTGAAGTACAACAGGCCAAAGCTACCAATGAATGCGCCAACATTTGCGATCTTTTTTATTTCAAGAAAATCTGTCAAGCCAGAACGATAACTATGATTTTTTGTTCATCCTCCAGACAAAAACACTTTTGTTTGTATACAATTATTAGATCGTTGATTTGTTAAATGATTAGTTTGTTTACGGCAAAACGATTTTTTTCGCGGAAAAAATTGTATTTTTGTCAGTTTGTTGATTTTCTCAATCGTGCACTTTCTTCCGGGAGACAGCAATATTGTTAGATAAGTGAATCGTAAATCACAGTAAGTGAGACTTTTATTCATTGGGTATAGGTGAAGAAACTGAGGCAAAATTATACTTGAAAGTTTTTTACGAGCGACAACATGAGGCTTTCCGTATAACGTTACTGCCTAAAAATATCATGAGGCTGACTAAACGTACTTTGTACTACGGAATTTCAGTGGTTACTGCAGGAAAACACTACATTTTTTTAAAAGAGAGAAACGTAACCATATACGAATAACTACTACTGGTGTTCAACAAATTAAAAACTAATTTGAGAGTTTTTCGAGTGGTAACCACTGTGTGCATTCATGCATGTACACAATAGTCTTTCATTTAAACACATCTGAAAATATTTACTTCTGAATGGATATCAATTGGGTGCATCACTTCCACAAGCTGTCCTCCTCCAACTAAAAACTTTAATTTTGAAACTAATTGTATAAAGAGAGTGTAATATTTGAAAAAATGGTATTGTTTTTTAAGTTTGTCTGACGAAACTTGAGTTTTACTACTTAACTCTTAAGCTATTGAAAACAGCGTAAATAACTTTGTTTTTTAAGAAGTAATCTGAAATTGCTTATTGTTGCATGTGTATTACGAATAATACTGTCAATCTTACACTTCTCGTAAATGATACCATCATAATTTAATTGGTAGAGTAACAGTTGCTGTACCAAAAAAAAATCTGTAAATTTAATGCATTTTCGCCTATCGATCAATGACCACATACAAAAATCACCAGTGATGTATGAGATTCCGTTTTATAGCCAAAGTTATCGAGGCAGTAAAAAATATTCAGTGGGAAAGTTGTGCAGTGACGATTTGATTGTTTGTAAATAGAAATCAAACGCTTCCTCGTTCCGCAAAAGTTCAAACGAAAAATTTCAATTTTTAGTCGATAAAACGTAAAAAAGCCCACCGAGCGTTGAATACCAAGGCAATTTCAATTGTGTCGATTGTTAGTATTTTTTGTTCACGCAAAATTTATTTTACAAATCCTTTTTACGAATAACTTGACGTTCATTCATCCACAATATTTGTACCGCGAATAAAAAACGAAAAAACTCCAGAGTTCGTTAACAAGGCTCCGCACATCATCGGAGCAAACATCAAGACCTACATATTTCCACTCCAGTGGCTCACAGCACTACCCTCGAAAGAAACCAAATAGCTCGACCAACGCCTGTCCAGCACGGACATCCAAGCAAATTCTCCCGACTCTCCACCATGTCCGACAAACCAAAACCCGACCCAATAAAAGGAGCCTTCGCCTCTCTCCTCTGCCTGAAAAGGAAAAAAAAAATTCCTGCAACTCCCGCTCATCCTCCTCAAGACCTACTTCGACAGGCGAATCCAATCTCGCGTGACTCCTGCATCCCTGTATCTCGGCCCACCAAAAATTTCGCTCTCGAGTCCCAGCCGACCCGGCGAATCCGAACGAGGGAGCGAGAAAAAATGTATCTCCGCACGTAAAGTCCTGCAGAAACTCGACGTACGTACACACGAGAAGGAGCCAAAAAGGCTCTAGGAGCCAAAAGCCGGTAGTAGCATCTCCTGGCATGGGTCCAAGCTCCCTTGCGCGAGCCCGCAAGTGGGCAGGCGGCCCCGATTCAATTTTAGTCGCTCCACGGTGTGTTACGCCTGTGTTCGTGTACCATATGAACATTACGCGGAGCACCCCCTTTTTTTGTCGTGAGACTATTATCAATGCGCTTCTCGATCGGTTAAGTCTCAAATCTGCGAATAACCCCAGCGAGCGTGGCAGTAGCGCGTCGTCGTCGTCGTCTGTTTGAAACGCGAGATGCAATGTATTCCCACATCGATCCCGCAAGCACAAGGGCTGTGTGGTAGTCTCTTTTTCGGATAGGGTAGGTGGAACGCAACGTCCCCTTCAACCCGGCGTGGAATCTCTTTATCCCTACCGCGGGGGCGTTTTAATGAATGCGATTCATCGGAGGGTCTCATTAAAATCAAGCGTCGCCGGCGCGCACGAGCGATTTTCCACTGCTTCGCTTCCTGGAAAAACTTTGAGCCCCCCCCCCCCATCCTTCCCTGCCTTCATTCCTTCTCGCCACCTCTACGCGGATGTGTATTTACAAGGGGGCTCTAGGGCTTGCTTTGACACTATCTTTTTTTCTTTTTCCCGTCGTATCTCGAGGTCTCTCTTCTTTCGGGCCGCGCAAAGTATGCGCACGGTTTGCCAGTAGAGGGTCCAAGTGTGTGAACTGACGTTAATGGCACGCTGTAGGGATGATGTTTTTGAGGGACCCCCCGAGTCACGCGTGATTATCAAAGCTTCATCTCGGAATTCGCGTTGATCGGAGTAAAATGGTTTGCACGTGCATTTTTACTCACTTTGTACGTTCCCAAGTCCTTGACGGTGCACGCGAGCTTGATGCTCCGGCCAGCCGGTGCCGTTATGTTGCCGATTTCCTTCACAAATTCGGGCTCCATGGTTGTTGGGGCTGAAAGAATACGTGAATTATCAAATATTTGAAGTTTGAATCTAAGTATTGGAATAAATTTGCTCTTTATCTTTATGTCTTTAGTACATTAAGTTGATGCCGATAGAGCTTTTCTCTGACATGGAAATTTCTGAAAGACAATGCTTATAATAAATAGAATTTAATAATAAACAGAGACAAGTAAAATTTTCTTGAAACCATAATAACAGGTCTTCCAGAATATTCTTTTATTGATTTATTTGCAAAAACTGCGAGCACTAAGTAATTAAGGTGGGAAATCAGTAGGAAAGGTCAACGTATGGGACGGCAGACATGTGGATCGAGCATTAGATGCTCTAAAAATTGTTTATGGCTGTTGTTTCAAGTTCTAATAGTCTTTTACCTCCTTGACTAAAGATTTCGAGTCCCAAAAATAGCCATTAAAAATTCAAGAAATCCTTCAGTCGTAAGATATTGAAAAACTCAAACGAGGAATCAGTAGTATTTCAAAACTCGGGTTGGGGAGTTATTTGGCTTAACAGCTTTTTTTTCATATGACTTCTTTACGTTCAGACTTTTCTTATGTAAATTCTAATATCTCTGAGGTTAAAAGATAGAAGATTCTAAATCTAATGGTGAAAAAAAAAGGTAAATGACTTTTTTAATGCGGCTTCTTCAAAGTCTTACATTACAGGAATTTCTAGAATTATTTGAGTTGGAGTTCAAAGGTTTTTGAACTAGACAGCTTATGTTAAGCTACTCACCGTATCCAATACAATCCATACACAATTTTTTAAGACGTTTATACATTGCTGATGCGCATTTTTATGTCTGTCGCATCACACATTGACCTGTACTACTGATTTTTCAGATTTATCTCACTTTAAACCGCTACCATGTGTTTTTTTGAACATGAAACGTAATTTACCGAAGTATATAAATAAATAAGATGTAACCCACACTGATACTTACACATCTACTTTGTTTTAGGAAAAAAATATCAAGTACATTTTTGATGATCAATGCATTAACCAACCAATGATTACTTTAAAATAAATATATTAATATAACATGTAATTTTAACAACTGTTGTGGAGTTTATTGATTTCTTTGATATTTTTAAGTTCAAAAATTTGTTGATTCGACAAACCCAAGGGGTAAGGAACTTCTAAATTTTCTGGAAAAATACATTATTTAGACTTTTTAATGAATAAATATGTAGTAAAAACGTACTAAACCAAAACATGTACAGATAATCTCATTCAACTGTTTAATATATTTTAAATTCAGTTTAAAAAATGTGGAAACGTTCCTTAACTTTTTTTGTTTTTGACAGTTAATATCTTAGATCAAATAACACTATTTTTTTTAAAAGAAAAAATTGTCAACTAGAAATGTTTAAAACGCCAAGCTTCAACAGGTTAAAATCTATTAAAAAATATGTTATTTAAAGTACCAATTGGTCTGTCATGCAAAAAGCTATTATTCTACCAGTCGTTTTCAAATATCCCAAGAAAATTCAATGTTATAACTTGACAGACATTAATGACATACCACTCAAAATCAGTAAAAATCTCTAGATGTCTTTCAGAGAGAGTCTTAATGTCTTGAAAATTTATCTTTCGTATTTTACCCTGCATTAAACTTTCCAAACTCCAAGATTCCAATTAAACGTAACGATAGAAAGCATACACATGACACCAGCAACGAAAAAAGCACGATCCCTGTAACCAGCGATGCCAAACCAAGCAAGAGACTTGCACCTCGAATAAAAATCACACGCATACATATTTATGCCAGATCAACGCCCTCCTTGTTTCAATCCTCTTCCCACTCCATGGTACGTACAACAGCGGCTGTCTGCTTTCGATGCACGACAAGATGCGAACGAAACAAAGTGCACGTGGTGCCTCCATCGTACATACGTACACGGGGAGCATAGAGCCGTATAAAAGGGACCAAAGAGCATAAAAGAGTCAAACTGGAGAGAAAGAAATTCGATGGTATAGGGAAGAAAATGGAAGGAAGGAAAGAGAGATGCAACTGGTGTAGCTTCTCTGCGAGTCACTTTAAATCCTTTCTACAGTTACATGTATATGTGTTTATAGGAAGGTGTATAAGTACGCACGTATACGAGTGGTTCCAGTAACGCCTGCCACTGAACTAAGCCGGTGCGCGTCGGCCGTGACTTTTGAGGCGGATATGAAGTAGAGGGAGAGCGAGTGGGTCTAAGGCTGACGACTGCTATGCTACTCCGGTTGGCAAGCTGACTCCCTACCTACTCGGAAATTCTCTTTGGGACACTGCCATCGACTTTACTATCCCATGCGAGCCCGCCGCTGCTCGCCCTCTCCTCAAAAGAAACTGTTGGAGGTGCTCGAATACCAAGGGTCTTACCCCTCGACTTGCACGGGTGTGTTTAATACTCGGAAGGAGCGCAGAAAGGGACTTTTGCGGTGGAGGAAGGATGTGTGTGCGGGAACGTTGGTATGTGATTGGCATTCCTTTGTGCGAGTGATGACGGTGGGCAACCCGCGGAGCATCAAGAGCAAATCTCCGCGGAAGTGGTGAATTAATAGTGGGCGTGGTGTGCCTGTGCACGTTGATAGCGCTAGCTCTGATTTTTCTGGGTCTCGGATCAAATTTTTGAGAGCTAATAGATTTATATTTTTTTTTTTTTTTTTTTTTTTTTACTTTTATTTCACGTGCTTTTGTGTCTGACAGTGGTGAGATGATTAAAACTTTGACAAAAAATTTTTAACCTACTTTCATAATAAGTACAGATCAGATGAAGTTATTTTTCATACACTTTGTCTGCCCATGGCTTGTCTTGCCTTAATCGCCTGCTTCTACTTAATGTTTGCTGGCTATTAAATTTTGCAGGTCAGATAGAAAGGTACCAGTTATCATCCAAAACATGCAATCTAATAAATGTTTACGAATTTTTATAAAAAAAAAAATAATAAAAAAAAAAAATCATAATAATACACTCTTGTAAATGAACTAAGGAAAAGAAAATAATTATTCATTGTACGGTTAATAGTAAGTATGGCCAAAGCAGAAAAATATGATTTTGATATCATTTCAATACAAAAATAGAATGTGGGACAACGAAATCCTGAAATACAAAGATTTTCCATGCTTCGGCAATGCAATTATGCTTGTTAATTTAAGAGGTAGTCGACACGGTCGTTTTTACCTCACTCACCAGTAACTCTATTCTAATCGTTTTCATCCGTTTCAACCATTACGACGTATAAATAAAGAAATTGGGCCAGAAGGAAGCGCTGATTCAATCATAAACCAAACAGCACACTCGACATTCGCTGATGAATTGATGAAATTTTCAATCGTAAAAAAAAAAAAATAAATAATAATAATAAATAAATAAGTGCATTTCTCGAGCAAAAGATAATTAATTAGACGAAATCTCTCGCGCGTGTACCCACCCTAAGTACACTAAATTCCTCTCGCGGGAATGTAGAGCATGATCCTCGAGCGCACAAGTTTGAAGCAGCGGGCATAGTTAATGATATACACCGATCTCGAAGCCGACTCGGCACCTCTCAATATCCAGCTTCTTTAGTCTTCTTCGCGCAGTTTCAAGAACTCCGGGAGATAACCCTCGACCGGCCCCACGCCTTTGGCTCTCGTTTCCGAATTAACAAGCAGTGAGGAAGCGCTGGGTATAAGAAGAGGCCTCGGATCGAAAGAGTTCTCGTAAGTGCACACGATTCACCCCCTTTTTCCCCAAGGCGCGCGTTTTACGTTGAGCGCGAGTCTCGTAATTATATGGTATACGCAGGGCTGGTGATTAGAGGGAGAGACAGGAGGATGGGTGGATGATTCTCTTGGAACAGCGGCAGGTTCTTCATTAAGTGACGAGACGATGAGTGTGCGTCGAGCGCGCGAATTTTAATTACTACGCGCTGCAGCTGCAGAGAGGGCCGTGGCTAGCACTCGCGGGGACGCGACTCGAATCCAAAGATTCCGAGCCAACGCAATTAAGATACCGTCTGCCCCTTCCCCCACGGCAACCTCATTTAGGTATTAATGTTACGTTTTTTTTCCTCCTCTGCTATTTCTTTTTTACACTTCAAGAGGTTCCCTCAGCCTTACTCGAGCACCGAGATGGTTATCTCCGATTTTTTTTTCAAGTTTTTTTTTCCTTGGTACACGTGAGAGCTTGTTTCGCGTGAAACGAGGATGCACGCGAGAAGGTGATTATTGAGTTTCACGGGTCGATGGGTTGCCTATTCCTCTTTTTACTGGGTCAGACAATTCTTTTTAACGATACGTCGAGATCTCCCGAGACTTCTACGTGTTTTGTATTATCTTATCTTTGCGTGTGTGAAAAAAAGAAACGTCACTCAAATGAGTTCAGCGTTGGATGCGGGAAGCGTGTATCGTACGGATTTTTTTACTTGGAAATCTAGATTTTGTTCAGAACTATCTTAAACTTGTCCGATTGAATTGAGAACAACGTTGTATTTGTTAATTTTTTGAAGATCACATAAATTACTTTTAGTAAAATTTTCCAATGATTTTTTCGTAGACATCAAACATACGTGTAAATATGGGAAACAAAAGGTTTTCTTTAAAAACTTTATATTTCAAAGAATATTTTGTCTATTAGCGCTTTTGTAAAACCTGTAATAATTGAACCACAATGATTAAATAAGCTTAAAAGAGTTTTAAGGGTATGTTTTTGTAATAAAAACGTCCACCACCCGTATTCTAAGAAAACGAATTACCGCAAAACGTAGACATGATCTCCCGTGATTCTGTCGTGTAAGTGACCAAAAAGAAAGATTCGTAAGACTTCGCAACATGCAACTCCCGGTGAATAATTACATGGATGTAATATTGAAAAAATTACAAAAAAATCTAAGAATGAAGTAACCCACGATCCACTTGCGCAACGTGAGATAAGGACACTGTCGAATTCCAGAGCTCATCCCCTTTGTCCGTGGTAACAACTTTATCATAACCAGCCCCTCCCCCAAACGTGAAAAAAGATA